GCTTGACAGGTTGTCGTCTGTCGTCGTTGCTTCGCTTGGCGCCAAGTGTTCTGTCATTTCCAAATCCGTGGATGAGGCTCCAGGACAAGGACATGGGTTAGTTGACCAATTAGGAAAGCGCAGCGGGATGACGGATGTCCGTGCGTCATTGTTTGTGTGGGGTTGCTCAGCAAGTGCCTGGCGTGGTTCCTGGAAGCGGAAGAAGTTTGGCTGACAACCTGGAATGTCACCACCACCAACCACACCACCACCACCACCCCCTCAACATCAACATCAGCAAAATAACAATCTGCTGCAATTGTACCCTTCGCCCCGGATTCCTCTCGTCGAGGGAGACACGGTCCCCAACACCCGGAAAGCCTACAGGTCAATTCATTCAGGTATGTCACGGTCCGGTGCTACCCTCGATCCCAAACGGAAATGAGGTCATGGCTACCTTTGGGGCAAGTCACGGGCCGGTCAAGCAATGCCATTGGTTACATCTGCCTGACCATCTTCCCCTTTCCAATATCGTCTCTGTCTTCCACCGGCCTAGAGATCTAGGCCACGAGAAGGGCAGCTGTCATGGGGGAGGGTGTCATCAAGGGACGCCACATACTCATTTGATGGACGTAATAATTGGACAATATGACTTCTCAGGCTTACCCATTCTCCATTGTAGGGCTGACACACGATTTGCGTTGGAGATCATATCTTCTAGTGCAGTGGCTGCTTTTTGTTGTCTGTTTCTGTCGTGCAGTTTGGCGCTACATCGTGCAGCAGCCGGACGTCGGCTCATGCCACACACCTTGGATCTCGGTCTGCAATAACAAGTTCCCACAGGTTGCAGGTGAACAGGAGCCAAGTAGCCGACAGAGGGCATGTGTCGTGTGCCAGGGCCCTGAGTCGTTCGTCCTGCACTTGATCCCCAATCCAGCTATTAGCCAACAAAGGTTGCCCACCCTCACCATCCAGTCATGTTGCGACTCGCTGCTCCACCCCCCTCGACTGCAGGCTGCTACCTGCCTAGCACGGCCTTGCGAGCATTCCAACCAAACCACATGGGGCAACTTGGCTGTTTTACTCGTGGCCTCGTAGGATCTGCCGCACCTGATGTTGCCCTCGGAGCGAGGACGGCGACGTCGTCGATGCTGAACAAAGCCACGCAGCAGCAATGGCAGCGAAATCAGATCACCCCTTCTTCTCACATATATTCCTCGGCTACGCCGTGGATGCACGTGAGGCATTTTGCTCAATTTGGGCGTGCATGTAGTAACTCGAATCCTAATCATGGAAAGGGGTACGTATGGTGCTTTGCAAGTACTTCCATCTCTGACACGGATCTGATTAGCTCAGGCTGTGGATCCTCACAGACACTGACTTGTGTGAACCAGACAGCAACAGCAGGTTCCAAACCCCGCACAGGAGACGTCCTCATCCGCTCCCTCAGGCCTGGTAGGCAAGGTCCTGCCCTCGGTACTTGCCAAGACCAAGAACGTGGCCAAGCGTGAAAACATCAACACCATACCAAACTGGCTGACCGCCTCCCGCCTTGTTGCGGCACCCTTCGTCGGGTATTGTATCCTGCACGATTACCACTCTTGGGCTCTTGGGTTGTTTGCCTACGCGGGGATAACAGACCTCCTAGACGGCTGGATCGCCAGGAAATGGAAGCTCCAGACCGTGGTGGGCACCGTGATTGATCCCATGGCGGACAAGACGCTCATGACGGTCTTGACGGTAGCCCTCGCCACCAAGGGACTCTTGCCCGTCTGGCTGGCGGTGATCATACTAGGACGGGACGTGGCACTGGCGATTTCGGCCATTTATTACCGTTGGATCTCGCTGCCCCCGCCCAAGACGTTTGCGAGGTACTGGGATTTCTCGCTGCCCTCGGCCGAGGTGAGACCTACGGCAATCAGCAAGTATAATACCGCCTTGCAGCTGGGCTTGATGGGGGTGACGACCCTCGCGCCTGTCATTCCGGCCGTGGACTTGGCAGCACCATTGGTTGCGTTGCAGTGAGTCCTTCTCTCGTTCTCCCCTCGACCAACAACGGTAGCAATGGCTCCCAGCCAGTCACGTGGCTAGTGCCAGAGATAGTTGGTGCTCAGGGCCATGGTCATTGTGACTAATTTTCCATTTGAATCTAGGTATGTCGTCGCTACAACAACCATCTGGAGCGGCGCGAGCTACATCTACAGCAAAGATGCGGTCAAGATCTTGCCTCATAACACCACGCCCGAGCAACCTCCCGCAAAAGACCAGACGGAAGAAACCGAGCAGAAGAAGGACGAAGAGAATAAATAGAGCATCGCGTGGTCGGCGTAGAATGTCGTTTGCTTTCTTGCACTTCACTTGCTGTTATAGTACTGGGGGCAAGAATCGGGAGCTTTTTGTTTGTACCAATAATTCTTGCTGTTCTTTACCAATGGGGCGAGTATTTATTAAATGGGTTGGCTTCCGAAATCGAGGGATGCGATAAAACAGCAAGGAGACGACGAATATGGAAGGATACGGTCTCTGTTACTCGAGCATCGTTGTTGATGCTGCCACTGGAAGCTGGCTGCCCAAGGTGCCCCTTTCCAACGTCCAGACGAAATCATCATACACCTGAGCTCCACGATGATTTGCCTCCGGTCTGTTCCTAGGTGGGAAGTGCCATCTCCTCGCCTGCCTATCTAGGTGGGTGGGTAGTGGTACTTCGACCACCGACCAGGGGAGACTCGATCAAAACCGAAACCGAGCATGACGACGGAACGAGCCACGGGGACATTGTGACTGCGTGATCTTTTTGATGTGCGCCATGCAGGAGGCATTTTCTTCGGTAAAGCAAGGGCAGTCAGGATCACCATCATACGGTGGATCAGTTTGACACATTCCATCAGCGACGCTTGGAATCCATCTCCCGCCGTCAAATCCACCAGCCAAGACGCTAGCCACCCCCCATTTGGTTTGTTTTGTTTGTTTTGTTTGTTTTGGGAACTAGGGGCTGACCTAGGTGAGTCCAGTCGACACCAAGCGAGCACGTCCACGATGGTAGTGTACATTGGTTGATGGCCGGGCACTCACCTCGGTGTGCGAGGCAAGTCCGGCACAGATGGGCACACCAGCGGGGCACTAATGCGCTGTTGAGATTGATGCCCTGTTTTTCTTCCGAGTGGCGAACTGGCGATGACATCCAGACATCAACAAGCTAGTATCTACACAGTGCACAAGTGGAGCATGTGGTCATGTTTGGGTGTGTGGGTTTGCGGGTTTTCTTCGGCTCTATAGGTTACGTACACGGTAGTGTCGTGTATATAACGAGCGGAGATGTGGGCTGGTCGACCGTTGAGCTTTCATATGATCATCTCTGTGGCGTGGAGCGTGGGTACGGGGAATATGTGGATGTGTGGGTTTCTTTGAGCGTTGTTCCCGCCCCGCCGGCTTCTTCACTCTTGAAGGGCCGCCCCCCCTCCCCCCACTCCAGAAAAGTCAATGGCATACGTACAATGCTCGTGGTGAAGAGTGCGGTATTCACATCGACCCGTACTCACACACTGTGCTGACTGCCGGAATCGGACCAAGATGTGAACTCGCAATCTCTGTGAATCCCACTGTGGCTTGCTTACTTTCTTGTGTTCTCTGTTTCTGATCGAGTGTTTTTGCTCCGTATTGATTGGTGATTACTTGAGAACATGTTGTGCGATAGTGGGTATGTACTCAGTACTACTAGTAACCTGCGATGTTTCGAGATACCTGTGTACCTATCCGGACCCTTTTAACAGTAACTTGCAGATCAGGATCAAGCCACTCAGCCCTGTAAAGCTCATACAACCACTAGTGTAATAACAACATGTACACACCCCATGGGGGTCTCGGGAACTGCGCTAGAGATGATGGTATGGCGGAACAGCTCCGATCGCCGTGCGGGATGAACTTGGTGTTGACTGTTATGAGCCACTCCATTCCGGCAGACTCCATGTCCGTCCTTCCGGTTCCTGAGCTCCACCCGGCACGGGTTGAATACGAGTACCGACCGACTCGTTATCCACGCGGAGGGTATGTACGTACATGTACATAAGACTTCGAGGATGGGAATTGCGCTTGTCGAAATATTTTTTTACAAATGCGTAACATGGTGTAATTATCGACGCAAGCTCTGAAAGAATCGGGCTTCATTCCTGACGAGCTAGAGACGAGCTAGGACAGCAGCCACCCGAGGAGAAATGCATGATGTCCTATATCTGGAGCCCGGCTGCGAACTAATTCATTTGGGGACGACGGTGTCCTTAGAAAGACAGGTTAGTCAACTGGTGAACGGTCATAGGACTCGTAGGACTCGAGACGGGCGGACGGGCTATCCGAACAGGCCATGGCTAGCACACGGGTAGTGAGGCAGATAAGACGTCATTATGGACTGATGATGGAAACGGGGTTCGGTAACCGATAGGAAAGGATCTCGATGGAAATGCTAGAACTAATGGGTAATGTACTCCCTAGCAGGAGAGAAATAACCAAGACCGATACAGAGAAGTGGACGCGCTGCGTAGACAGTATCCAAAATTCTCATCACATTCACGGGTCCAAGGGCTGACCGATCTGATACGACGTGCGCCTGGCAGCAGGGAAGAGGGTCTTGTCGCCAATCACAGAACCACTTCAACGAGGAATAGAACGCCATAGGTTTTATGCAAATTCATGTACAATCATTACAAGCATGGCTTTCCAGGGGTCCAATGCTGACAGTTCTTTCCCGAACAAGCAATATGAAGGAAAGGCTGTACACCGAGAATGCGATTATCCCTGCCTGGGAAGGAGACACCCGAGAGTTTCCATCATATCGGAGTCGTGCACGCGTGGTGCTTCCAGCGGAAGGTTTGGTATGTGTACAAGCTTACATTGATGCATCCTCGCGCCTGGGAAAGAACCTTGAGGGCCTACTACGTAATCACAAGTGGAGTGAGTGGCAGCTTTAAAAGTACAATGACTGCTCAAACAACCATCGAAAAACGAGAGGAGTACCTACCTCTCGGAAGGGCCCGCTGGCCAAATGGTAAGGCGTCAGATTTCGGTTATCTCATGTGTATACAATTCATATCGAGAGAATTGTCCTCTGAAGATTGTGCGTTCGAGTCGCACGTGGGTCGTCCTCAACGTTTCCACCTCTCCAGGAGGTAGTTTATCCTTTTTTGTTGGGATCTGGTTTCGTTACCTATCATCATCTTCTGCCGTATTTTTTGTATTCATAACCTTCCCATCATCCCTCCGACCGTCATGCTGTCTGTATTTTTTGTTACTTTCAGAATACAAATATCTTTACGACTTTTAGCTTCTGGTCGGCTTTCTCGGCCCAGTCTAACACATGAACACTTTTTTTCCTGCCCAGCAGCCACAATGAAGACTGACTGCACATTGTACAGTGCTTTATGTACCATCCTGCATACTCGAATTGCACGATAATCCCTCACATCAGCCCCACAGCCTTTCTCTCCACAACACACGCACATACAGTGACTCACTCACCGAGAGGAAATCCCCATCATCGGCTAACTCTTCTGCCACAACCCGAATTCTCTCATTCCTGCATGGAACAAGATCCATATCAAGCAAAAATAAGAGTCAGACATGCAACCCAAAAGGCAAGCCCGATTAGCTCAGCCGGTTAGAGCGTCGTACTAATACAATACCCTGTATAAAATTCCTGTAGTTGCGTACAACCCGTTGTATACGGTCATGCGAAGGTCAACAGTTCAATCCTGTTATTGGGCATCTTCTTTTACTTTTGCTAGTTAGTTCTGGGTTCTGCTTTGTGTCAAGTTGGTTGTTGACCTTTCTTTGGTTTGTCTCTTCGTCTTGTGCGTCTCTCTCGCCAGGATGCCGGCCCCACTTTTACCCCTTTTCTCGAATTGAATGTTTGTGCCGGACACTTGGCCTAACATGGTAGTTTGTTTACTTACCTTCACCAAGATCGCCATGACTTGATTGTTGCTTTCTGAAGTCTTCCTTACACACGCATGGAATAGACATCATCAACATGTCTCTCAAGATGATGACAAGAATGATCATACATATATATGCTTGGCAAATGGCGCGTTCATTATATATACCTTACCTACCTGCCCTTTCTATATGATGCCTCCCTCCCCTTCCTACCCAGCCAGCCCTAAATAGTTTACAATGAAGAGGGACCTCGCTTTCAGATCTCGAAAATCCCAGGGACAATGAATGTTCTTACAGGAAATTATTTCATACAGGACGGAAGTTGTCTATAAATTTACAAATCAGCCTCCCTCGCCTTGGAATCCAACGTCCCCAAATCCGTCTCAGCAGAAACCGCACCTCCTCCCAAACCCATCTCCATCTCTACTGGATCCGAACCGTCGTTAACTCCATACTCCCTCTTCCGTGCCTCAATCTCAGCCACAACCTCGCGTTTACTAGCATCCCTCTCCCTCTTCTTCAACAGCCCAAATAACCTAACAATAGTAGCGGGCGTGACTCCCTCGAGCCGTTTCGCCTGGCCCAGCGTCTCAGGGCGTGTCTGATGCAGCACCGCCCGCTCAGCCAGACTCAAAAAGTCCAGATTCGGATAATCCAGATCCAACGGCAGCAGGAAATTATCGTCCCGTTCAAGACGCATCTTGTCCCTTTCCTGGGTGCGGATGAAGGGCTCGTAGGCATTCTCCAGCCAGACGCGCTCCCTTATCTGCGGCGAAAAGTCTAGCAATCCCCGGTCAAGTTTGTTGGCCAGGTCGTCGATCGTGACGGTCTTGACGTGCAGGATATCTAGTCCGTTGCGGACTTTGGTGTCCTGCCGGACGTTGAAACCTGCGTTGAGCCAGGCCGAGGGGCTCATGGAGAGCTTTTCCAGCCGCGCTCGTAGATCAGCTGCCGCGGATCGATCGGATTGATAGTGCGACCAGCGTTTGTCGCCTACGACGCCCCATTCCCTGCCGAGGGGTGTGAGCCGGACGTCGGCGTTGTCAGGACGGGTCGACAGGCGGAATTCGCTGCGCGAGGTGAACATCCTGTACGGCTCAGAGACGCCCTTGGTGATGAGGTCGTCGATCATGACGCCGATGTAGGCGTCTGCGCGACCGAGGGTGATGGGTTCCAGTCCGAGAGATTTCCTGCCCGCGTTGATGCCCGCTATTATACCCTGCGCGGCGGCTTCCTCGTACCCCGTCGTTCCATTTATTTGTCCGGCGAGAAAGAGGCCGCGGATGGCTTTCGTTTCGAGGGTTCGTTTGAGGCTGCGCGGGTCTACGTAGTCGTATTCTACACCGTAGCCGGGCTGGAGCATCGTTACGTCCTCGAGACCTGGGATCGTCCGGAGGAGTTGCTCTTGGATGTCTGCGGGGAGGGTCATGCTTATCCCGTTGGGGTAGATGATGTCGTTGTCGAACCCTTCCGGTTCGAGCCAGACCATGTGCTTGTCACGAGAGGCGAACCGGATGATCTTGGACTCAAGGGACGGGCAATACCGCGGCCCTTTGACGGTCTCGCGGATGTGGATTGATTTGTGGAGGTTGGCGCGCACAATGTCGTGTGTCGCGTTGTTGGTAAATGTTGCGTGGCAGAGGAGCTGGTCTTTTACCGACACGGTTTCGTTTAGATAGCTGAATGGTCTTGGGGGGTCATCGCCACGCTCTTCGGTGAGGATATCCCATTTTATGGACTTCTTGTCCAGTCTCGGAGGTGTGCCTGTTTTTAACCGCCCGAGCTGGAAGCCGGCTTCTCTCAAGGATTTGCTCAGCCCGAAAGTCGCTGCTTCGCCTATGCGACCTGACGGGTAGGCCTCGAGACCTATGTGAATCTCGCCTCCCAAGAAGGTGCCGGTCGTGATGATGACCTGGCTTGTGGGTAATATCTCGCCCGATTCGAGCTTGATACCCGTGATCTTGGTCTTGGCGCCTGTCTCGGGCTCGTCGTTCTCGGAGATGACGATATCCGAGACCTTGCCGAGAACAATAGACAGGTTCGGGTACGTCTCGAGCTCCTCCCGCATGTATTTCTTGTATAACGCCCGATCGATCTGGGCTCGTGGACCCCACACCGCGGCCCCTTTTTTGCGATTCAGCACCTTGAACTGCACGCCGGCCTTATCGATGATGCGCCCGGCTAACCCGTCGAGCGCGTCAATCTCCCGAAGCATAATCCCCTTGCCAATTCCACCAAAGCTGGGGTTGCAAGAGCAGGTACCCAGATTGTCAATGTCGGGCGTGATGAGCGCCGTCTTTGCGCCGGCTCGCGCGGCCGCGGCGCACGCTTCAGCGCCAGCATGGCCACCGCCTACAACGACCACGTCGAATGGTCTCGAATCCACGCTAACCGTCGCAAAGGTACGCCCTGTCCTCCTCCAACCGTATGATGTCGGAATGCTCCCGCCGGTTCGAAGAATCGCTGGTCTTGCAGTCGCTACGGTGATCGGCCGACGCAGGCCTCGGGCAGGGATGCAGAGCTTCGCCATGGTCGAGGTTATCGCGGACCCCTCCGCTGGCAGCCAATTGACCGTCTAGATACCAGCACCAAGACGGTCTCGAACTAGCAAGAAGGAGAGGCAAATGACGGCAGTGACACTGTGCTCGCGTGCGAATTCTTTGGAAGGAGGGATGGCTGTCGCGATTAATTTCAGACAGGGGTATCGATACGGATACAATACAACAAAAATCTCGGCGATAAGGATTCGCTATCGCCACACCCCGCTGTGCCCATATCAGCCCGGCATTCGACCACGAAGGCATATCTCGATGGGTTTGGGATCCCAATCAGTCGGCGAAAGTTGCGAAGAGTGGGTTATTTGATTATATCTATCGAAGCGCAAAGCATTTGATAGCTTCTAAAACAGTGCAAATGTGTTTATTGCCTCTCTCATGTACAGAAACACCAGGCTCGAAGCTTAGCCATCGAACGAGGAGGGGAAGAAAGGAAATCAGATGGCATTCAGGTTTGACATAACGAATCGCTTTGCAAGAGTGTAAAATAACAGATAATGTACAAAAGAAACAGTCCTGTCAGTCGGTACACTTGCTCTTTCGTCCTCTCTTACAGTGCGCCAACCCCACTGATCAGCAATCGTACAGACATCCGTCGCGTCGCAACAAAGGGGAGGCAGTCCAGCGCTATCATTTCGACATATAACATAATCGGCATGTCCCCTGTGGTAAATCCAAGCACGTATCGGCCTCATATTAATTTCCCTCGTGTCCTTCCTCGTGCTGTTGGGGCCGGCGAAGGATCTCGATCGACTCTGTGATCAACGTTGTCAGTTTGCGTCCATGTATTGGGACTAGTTTTTGTTAAGCTGCGACATACTCTGAGCAATATTGAAGAAGGGCTTCTTGCTTCCGTCCTCGGCAGCGAACGAGCCGGTTGACACATCTCCCTCTACCAATACCATCGTCCTGTTACCACAGCATTAAGGTTAGCAAAAATTGCTATAAAGCGCAGATCGAAATCATAGACGAACCCTTTGGGGAGGCCGAGTAAATAGTCCCGGAAGCGACCCTCGGCAAAGGACACCACGTTGAACCAGCTTGTCGTCTGGTTATCGCCCGATCCAGTGTTGGTGCCGACGCTGTACCTGATAATCTCACGACCCGTGCTAGAGGCCTTCAACTCGGGAGCAGCGCCCAGGTTTCCGACAATGGTGATTCTGGCAAAGCGATTCGACGGGGTTGAGCTGAAAGCGCGGGCCGAAGGCCTGGCAGCGGCGCGAGAAACGGAGCGGAGGAAAGCCGACATGTTGGACTCTGTTCGTATTTTTCGTCTTATTTAATCGACCACCTCTAATTGCGCGGAGAATTCTGGGTCTGTGTTGGTGAATGTGATGGATGCCGTATCGACCGCTACCTATGTCCGACGCGTTTGATACAGCTTTGACGCGAAAACCCAGGTCATTTAATTTCGGTGGAGCTCTTGTGCTGCCCCTGTCCAGTCCGGTCCCCCGGCCCCAGACCCTTGAAGCTTGGCATCTACGCCACTCCGCCATGCAACAGCCACATGTGGCTGGACCACGTTTTGGCACTAGGTCTCGATCAACACCATCTGCAGCGTCTTTTTGTTGCGCAAGGAGCATCACGGAATAGGTAATTCGAGTCTCAAATCAATCTCCATTTTCTGCAATTTGCGGCTTTTGTTTGTGTCCCCATTCTAGTATAAGACGCACAGATTCGTCGATTTTCCCCGACAACTCCCCGATTCCTGATTGTCCCATTTGTCTGGCAGTCCTACCTCGTTCGCCACGTGCAACACGAAACTGGATCCCAGTCAGTTTCACTTTGATCTCATATTTTCTTTCTCTCTTGTTCATCCAGTCCCTGTCAATAGGTACCTCGCTGCGCGCCGTGCCACGTTGTTTACTTTCGCCTCAACCTCAGCTCGGATGGCACTATACCCCTTTTGGGCTTCAATAGAACTTCATGTCCGTGCCTATTCGAGTGAATAGCACCGCACTCAATAGCCTTCTTCGTCCGAAGTAGCTGACCATCAGCGACTTACACTGACACGGCCATGTTCGACCTTTACTTTCAATAGAGCCGAGGTACCCCTCAAGGTGCCTCTTTGAAAATTTCTAATGTTTTCCGTGCAATTTCGGCCTCACGGGCCTGTCAAGGTACATGTAACCGTGTCACACCTGTCAAAATTGGATCCTATTGATGATGACACATGTCAATAGATCAACTTTATAGCACATTGAACACCTCGTTTCAGGCCTCATCCATCATGACCACCGTCGTGGTTTCTGTAGGTAGCTCCTCTCGCGGATT